GAAATAGCATTCGTGAAAACCACAAAGAAATCCGTGGAAAAATGAGCTACGCCTTTCTTACAAAGCTTTCAGTCCTGAAGCTCTGTGAGAACAAAATTCAGGACTCCTAGCATCCATCTTTGGTTTCATAATATATATCCGTTAAGATAAAGCATGCCCTTGATACATATTTCAAAATTATACTTGCTTTACTGAAGACAGAAGTAGAAGGCCCATACACTGGAAGGTTCCCAGCTCCGAGGATTGACTGCCAATATCTCAGAATTCTGATGTCTAAGTGCCTCTGAGGATCTGGGATTATGTTTTTTTCCCCCATCCATAGCAAATGAGAACAAGATTGAAACAATTCAACACAAAACAAGAGAAGGAATTCAAGATGATGGCACATAGTTGGCTTCAAGTTTACCATCCACAGGGATGAGTTTACAGAGAGGATTTTTCTCAGAGGATAGCTCACAAGACAAGCACCTAGAGAATAGCACCTAGAGAATACAGTTTGCACCTATTCTACTAAGAAATAAAGTAGGAAGTTCTACATAACCTTTGTAGCCAGCATTTTTGAAGAAGAATATCTGATTAAATATATGTGCAGTTAACTGTACAGTTAGAAGAGTGACATGGTTAGGATAGCATTTTACAGGTTACAAAGATTATCATGATGGAAAGAGACAACAAAAAAATGAAATACGCACCTGTGTCCTAGGCTTACAGTAGAAAACTCCAGAAGGAAGGATGTCCAGAAAGAGGCCCTTCCCTAGTGGCAGTCAGCCCTTAAATGGGGTCTAGGAGAGGTGCAGCCAGGCTCCACTCCTTCTGGTCACACAGCTGAATTGCCTTCACCTATGCTCCTGGCTGACCCAGTCCTTGCCTCAGGTGATCAATCAGTGGTTCAGGCCGTGACTCAACAGTTCCCATGCAGTATAACACTGTCTAAAGCAGGCAGAAGTATACATGCCGAGGAAAAAAGATCAATATGAATATTGGAAAAAGATTTGTGGTACAAGTGAGTAAAAGGACTGTGGTTAATTCTACTTGGGAACTGAGCATCCAAGGAGAAACAAGGGACCTGTGACAGTGTGGGAGGCAGAGTGGCAGAGTCTGCCTGATGCTCCTGGTGCTGTAAGTCACAGCAGGGTGAGGGTTGCCATCACTTCTGCAACAGCATTTTTGAGAACATGTACTGTTCAGAAGAGATGAAAGCATAGGATTAACTCAATGATCTGTTTCTTGCTTCAGGGCCACAGACCTGAAAGTCAGTATGTTTCCTTCTTTAACATGCCAGGCTTCTGAGCAGTGCAGACCGTGTCACGTGGAGGCTGTATTATTCCTGCTTAAGTAACCCGCTTTAGCCAGCAACCTGCTGGGGGAAGGGCAGAGCTGAAGTCTCACCAGCTCACACTCTGCTGCCAGGCTCGGAGCTGCAGGCTGCATGCTGTGTTCCATGGTTCCCTCTGGCACCACCACTGACCGGCAATGGGATCTGCGTGCTTCAGCTGTATTGCAGCTGAGAATGACTCCTCCACTTGCATCACAGCCATTCTTGTAGAGCTTTTTTCCTTTTGCTGGCTGTCTGCCTGCCTCAGCATTGGGTTCGGGATGTTGATCTTGACCTACAGATCTCCACAATCAGGGTCATTCCCAGTACTACTGGGAGGTGTGAGTTTTGTGGCTGCAGCCCCTTGCTGCTCTGCAACCTCTGCAGCAAGGGGCCTGGCTCCACCAGCCTCCTCAGGAGACACACTTCACACAGCCTGCCAGTATGCTTTCTCCTTAAATCTATCTTTGTTTTTTATTACTGCATCGCTGGCTTTCATTTAAGCTCTTCTCATATCATCCTGATGCTCCTCATGCCCTCCCCTTTGGGCAGGTTTCCCTGGCTCAGCAGTGCTGCTCGGTGCCCAGCTTCATCGAACACATGGCCCACTGAGACCAGTGTAAATATTTCCTTTGACTTCAGTGGACTTTGGGCAAGCCTGCAATAACCCACCCTATTGGACAAAGAGGGGCCTCAGCAGCCCATCTGCAGTCAGTGATGGCACTCACATTGCCTGAAGTATACCCCAAAAGCATGGCCTTCCCTTCTCCTTGTGGCACCCCTTCACAGTGAGTTCTTCTGCCCTGCTGTAGTCACACAGGAGGTGCAGGCCCAGCCAGCCCAATGAGATACAGGTGTCTGTAAGCCTGTGGTTTGTCCTGTGAGGAGGGGTGCTGGCTGGCACTCCATGATGCTGAAGGAAGGCCTGGGAGATGGGGGGTGGGAGCTGTCTTCCCTCTGAAAATGCACATCTGCGTTAGCTGTGTCATTTATATCACTGATTCTAAATACATCAACCGTGTTTCTTAGTGGATGTAGTGTGTGCGTCTGCACAGTGCCGTCACAGCAGCCTCAGCTCTAACCTATAAATAAAATTAATGCTGGTACCATTATTTATATTAAACAAGTGATGAGCCATTGTTTCGCTGTGAGATGTTCAGAATATTTGGCAGCCCAGGAGCTTGAACAGCATCAGTTTTAAATTTCAAAATCAAACTGCCACCTTGTGGCGTGGTGGTGAGAAATCTGCAGGAAATCGTGTGCAGTGGAAATAGAGATACATCATAAAAATTGGTCTCTTAGCCCCACCAATGGCTTGCCATGTTTACGTAGTCTTAAATGTATCTGTAATACACTTTGATGAAATAATAATATTTTTTTCTTCCATTAGAAAGTTCATCTGGTCTTTTGTTATTATATGTCAGTCTGAATTACCAAACCAGTTACTTATTCTCATGTGTAATTGTACTGAAATCACTAGTGTACTTATACAAATAGATATTCAAGGTTAGATTAAAATGCTCATAGGAGAGCCATAGATATAATGGCAATAGATATGTATCATTGTTTCCTTTCTCTATTTTAAACTCATTTGTCTTAAGATTTTTATGAGAATCAGAGCATGGCCATACCAGATACTAAAGGTGAGCAAATAGTAGTGCATCTGAGGTGCGCTCCCTGTGCGTCCTCGTGGGCCGTGACAAATGAGAGCTGATTGTAATCAGCTTTCTCTTTCGTTGCAGGCCTAGCTCTCACAAATTATTTCACCTTGGTTGTCAACCAAGAGCAAGCACAGTGGGCCAGCAGATGTGCAGCTTGTGCATCTCAGCCTTCAGGTGGCAGAGCTGCATGGAGATGCACTGCATGATCTTTTCTGCATGTGGCTGGAATGAATGTTCTCGTGACATCTAATGCTGCTCATGGTAGGCAGATTGAAAACTAGTCCATTTCAAACCGAAAAGTGTAACTGAGGTCAACTATGTATCAGTGCTTTGTGCATCCAAGACTTCTCAGGAACACAGTGGTTTAAAAAATAAAATAGTGTGAGTAACAAGAAGTCCATAGGATCTGGGTTCACATTTGTCCCTCTGATCATGCCAGACAAGCATTAACACTTTTTTTAAAACATGGGGTGGAGTTATCTGCTGAGAAGAGCAAAGTAAGAGGGGGACAGGAGGGAGTGTAATCACACGGCAAGCGTGATGCTGACCCTTACTTAAGTAAGCCCAGAAAGACACAGACAAGTGGCATGCAGCCTATAGCACTGAGGCAAGACATTTTCCTTCCATTTTCTTTATTACAAGCCTGAGTGCAATACTTACGGAATACTAAATACAAAGTCGTTTTTATATATAGACTCACAGATTTCTCAGTTCCTCATGAACTGCTGTCCTGTAATATCTCTGGTGAGCACTGGCTGTAGGAGAGAGCCAATGAGCATCCCATGGTCAAGGATGCTGCAGATGCTAATGGGGCTGCCCGAAGAGCCCAGCCCCTGGAACACCTATACAGAGGCTGCCCTGACTTAGAGCGTTATCCAGATTTCATGTCTCCATCAGTCTGCTTGGAAACCAAACTCACAGGAAAAGTAGACACAAAGATTCCTTTTTCATGATTGTGTGCAGTCTGCCCAGCTGGGTTGTTTAAATCAAGTACGAAGATCCTTCTGCTAGCTATGATCCCACCACATGGCCCAAGCAGATGCATATGTGAGCCACTTCTACATGAGGCCTCCTAACAGCTCATGTTGGCTGAGTCATGGGTTTGCATTGACACAGACCAGTGGTGACACAGGGTCAGGGCTGGCACAATTAGAAAATAAAGGGAGGAGGTGTTCAGTGGTTGCTGAGATTGTGAGACAGAGGGCGGAGTGGCTGGGGGATACAGAGTATTTAAATGTATATAGGGTGGGAGGACTAAACTGTCTATAGAGCTGTGTGGCCTCTTCAGCTTGCTCAAGTTAATTTGCAGAAAGGCTCTGTGGTGTTTGATGGGGTGTTTGACCCCATCCCATCCTGCTATCATACACCTCTGCAGTATTTCTCCTTCTGGGGGCACTTCCACCTGCCACTGCTATGGTCTCTGAGCAAACTGAGGCACTCCTGCTGCTCAGGACATTATAGAGGGGACCGGGCTGGATCAACACAGCCATGCTCAAGGCTTTACGTACTAGGGCAGCTGTGAGCCCTGCATACTGGGGGCTCTAGTAGAGGCCCGGTCTCATGGCCAGAGAAATGGAAGCAGGACCAACAGGACCAGTGCTGTCCTGAGAAAAGCAAGATGCTCCCACAGGAAGAGTGCCTTGGGAAGTGATTTTTTCTTTCTGAAATGCATTAGTTAGAAAGCAGTGAGAGCATCACATCCTACTGCCATCAGTAAGTCACCAGTAGTAACTATGAAAGGAAATGTGTATTTCTCCTGCTGAGAAACAGCACCCAGGACTAATGTCATTTAACATAACATGGCTGGAGCAGAGGTTAACCATGTGGTTAATGAAGCTTAATGTGTATAAAACCTGTAGAGAAATTGTTTTTTCTGATGTTATTGCTAGTAAGTTTGTCCTCACTTTCATAAAAAGAGTGTGGTGATATCTAAGAGTGGTATTTTGATGCCTGAAATGCTCTTCATATAAATAGAACAAGCAGATCAGCATGACCAAGTGATAAAATTACCTTCTGGTCTTCAGGAACTTCAGCATGTAACCGCACTATAGGGACCTCAGTGTACCCCTCTTCACAGCACAAACAGATACGTTTGGAAATGGAGGTGGAGGAGGCATATGAAAAAGGAGAGAATACTCAGGGGAAAATGACTCGAGCTGAAGCTGCAAAATTAGTGAAAAAGAACTTTCTGGAAGCCCTGAAGTCTAATGACTATGAAACACTGGAAGAGCTCTTGAACCAAAAGAAAATAGATGTGGACACGGTGTTTGAAGTGGAAGATGAGAATCTGATTCTGGCATCCTACAAACAAGGTAAATGTGACAGCGTTCACAGGACAGGAAGTAGGTGGGCTTGGGGAGTTTTCCAGAAACTGTGGCCTTGTGTCCCTTCTAAAGCTGCAGCATAATGTGGCTCTCAGGGAGAGGTATCAGGAGGCTCATGTGGCCGCACCACTGCCGGAGGAGAGCTTAGCTGTGCTGCCGGCCTTGGCGGAGGGCAGGCCAGAGAGCAGCACCAGGCTCTGCACCTCCCAGGCACTACTGCAGCCCTAGAGAGCCCTGCAAAGAGGAGACCTTTGCTATTTCCTCACAGAGGATTTGAGTGCAAAGCCCAGCACACGCCCATGAAGTGAAGTATACAAATTTCTTGCATGTTCTCCATCACATTAACAGAACATTTAGAAACACAAAATATTTAATCTCTTCCTTTTTCAATTTTCAATAGTGCAATGAATTCTGCTTAGCTTAGGGGATCTAAAGAAATCCTGTGGGCTTGAATGTTGCTGCTGGGGAGAAGCTGTTTTTTTCAAGCTCACGGAAAGCAAAGATGTGCTAGTTCATCAAACCAGAGGAGTCATCTGGAGAAACAACATAACCAGGCAAGACTTCCCACCTGGTTTGGAATTTACCAAATCCAAACCAGCTGTCAGATACAGAATTTCCAGAAACTTATAATTTAAAACAATGAAACAAATCTGCTTTCTGCTAAAATCAACGTACTTTGTTACCTACTTGATGAAAAGACTCCTCATGGGTATCTGGAAGACAGTAATGACCAGCTTTTGCCAGAAGCTGAGTGTGCGTGGAGATAAATACCAGTCTTGGCAGCACAGCAAATATCCTTTTTTTTTTTCTGTGGCATAACAGAGGGACAGCATCCCTCCTCTTCTCTTTTCCTGTGTTTACCTGATATTTAATGATCAGTCTCTGCTCTTTTGATCACATAAGGGTGAGGATGATTCAGCCAGGAGTTCCCTTGGGGACAGCATCTGAACTAACCCACACAATGATGAATGTACCTTAAAGTACATTTTCTTCTGTCCTCAGCTGGCTAAAATGCATTTTGGTTGTGGTTTGAAACTACAGAAGTAATGCTTGCATTTTTAATTGTGGATATTTCAGCAAGAAGTACTAAATTCTCTTTTGGAACAAGTCTCTCCTTTTTTCAAATGGTAGAGGGATAAATGTACCCCATGGCCTAAATCACAGCAGTGTATCTGCAGAAGGTGCTCCATTAGCTATCATGCAAATTTTGTTTTCTGGGAGGAGGATTTCCCTGGGGAGCGAATGCTGTTAAGCATTCAAACAGGTTGAGCTTTGCCACGGCCCCAAGATACAAAGGGGAAAGAAGCCACCAGTGGCATAGGGGCTTTGCTGCCTCTCTTACAAAAGGCCCCCCTTTCGGAGACTGTGACTTCTTTTCACCCCAACAAACAGGTGAGTTGAAAGACTCCCCCATATGGGCTGTTGCAGCTGCCTGCCCAGTGCCAGGTCTCATCCCTTTGGGATCAGGGATGTCTGTGGCTCTGGGCAGAGGACGTAGGAGATGCTCCTTCTGCGGGCACCATTCACTCACAACAGCATAAAGGAGATAAAGGGTGGTCTCAGATAGGAAAACTATGGCTGTGTGGTGGGATAACTTAGCTTTTAAGGATCACTTTCCTACCATTACATATCAATTATAGCTCACATATGCATATTTTTGGCCCCCCAGGCTGAACTCAGTGAAGGATCAGGTTGGTTACAAGGAGAAGAGCAAAATGTGAATCTAGGTGGGGAAATGACTTTAAGAAACCTGCTATGCTGTGTGCGTGGACTCTGGGATATAGCACACCTACTTTGCACCAAGCTTGGGGGCATGTGATGAAAAAGTTTTTCTCTCTGCCAACAGCAGTTTGTTTCTGCTACTTCTTTCCTCTCTCCGTCTCTCTTCCTATCTAATATAGTGCACATGAAACTGTAAATGTATCTGTCTGAAATGAAGGTGGAAAATACAGAGCTCAAGACTCAAAAATTAAGGTCTGAATTAACTTGGCCTCATTACACATCTGTAGTACTTTCCTTTACTTTAAATTGTTATTTAAAGTACTTTAAATAATAACGTTTACCAGAAACTTGTCCGAGGAGATAAATGAAACCAACAACATTTTATAGGCACATACTAGCTAAAAAGCAGCTGCTATACTTCAAAAATAAATATAGAAAAGGATAAAAATGAAGTTTTAGTCTTCTCCTGACCTTCTGCACAGTACTATCATAGTTTTCTTTTTTAAAGCAACTGATCATAGTCATCACTTCAAAGACTGTCTCTATACAGTCATGGAACATGTAGAAGTATCTTGGGAACAAATATTAAAGTTCTTTGGTCTTATACATGTTTCTAAGTGTACTTACACAGGTTTATAAGAATACTGTGAAGTTTTCAGACAAAAATCTGAACATTTTTAAACCAAATTTCATGCTGAACTGCACCTGCTTCCATTTGGCTCTTTCACCTAAATCGCACCAGCATCAGAACTCCTCACTACATGCCCCCTTATGGGCAATAGCTGGCAGAAGGGCAGGGACACTTTGCCACATTGCCACATTGTTGGAGATCATCTTCATGCAGTGCATCACTGGGAGTACAAATCCAGCTCCCTGCACATGTGTTCTGGCAGTGTCCCATGCAGAAACAGCAGGATGAGCTATTCATTTAGTCACAGCCCTAAGCAGATTCAACATTCTTATTCCAATACCACCTTTGTTCAGCTGTTGGCAGACTGAAGAGTCCGTTTCCAACATATTTTTTGGGTGATGGTATTTCAAATGCTCTGAGCTTTTTTTAAAGATTATTATTCAGTCTACAGAGGTCACTAGAAAAACAAAAGCTGCCTTCAGTACATCTACATAGGAATTATCACTCCAAATGGCAGACTATTCAGCACACAGTGGAAGTACCTAATGAAAGTGAAGTTATGCTTGAGAGAACTTTGTGTGCACTAAACTCTAGCTGGTAAAATTACAGCAAATTAAACCAAAGCTCCGATCTTCCCTTCCTCCTCAATTATTCTCAGTAGATGGATAATGCAAAGGAAAATCTTAGCCAAGGATGGTAACACTTCTCTGTTTTGTACAGGATACTGGCTGCCTAGTTACAAATTAAAAATATCCTGGGCAACTGGACTTCATCTGGCTGTCATGTATGGGCATCTGGAGAGTCTTTCAGTCCTGCTCAATCACAAAGCTACGATCAACTGCCGGCCCAATGGGAAAGCTGCAATCCACATAGCATGTGAAACAGCAAATGTTGAGTGTCTCAAGATCCTCTGCAACCATGGAGCCAAGCTGAACTGCTTTTCAATGAGTGGGCAGGCACCCTTGCACTTCTGTACAACACTAACCTCCATTCCTTGTGCCCAGCAGCTGATTTGGAGAGGTAAGGGAAAGTTCTGGATGGTTTCTGTGGTCTTTCCTAGGAGGCATGTTTCCAAGTCCTTGTATATTTATCCTTCCCACCCACAGCTGACTTGCCTGTTCATCTCTGACTCCTTTTCCCCATCTCTTTGACCAGCTGAAGTTTCTTCTCTCTCTCCCTGTCCATGGCCACCAGCCCTTGCTCCAGGATTGGTTCCCATTGGGAACTGCCTGATCAGTCCCCAGCAGCAGAGCTCCTCTGAATCAGGGAATTCTTTTTCTCTACTTTTTTTTTCTGTCTTTCTCATCTAGATTTACTACTGAAAGGCTCTCACATTAAAGTGCACCCCTAGCTTCTTTTTTCTTGCACAAATTTCCTTGTTCTCCATAAATTCTTCCACCCACTTGTGTTTTAAGACCTGGCCCTGACAAAAGAAGTGTAGTTTTTCATACTGTCTCTTAGTTTGCCAGCAGTCAAATTCTCACATCTCTGTAGGAAATATAGGAAAAAGGCTATTATATAAGATTTTGTTTTCCTGAAGCGAGATATGTTATATCTCTGATTGGCTGTAGCAAATGAAGCTATGAATAGCTGCAATTCACAGATAAATATATTGATGTCCCTTCTACTGTGTCCTTAACACAAGGAAGCTGACTCTGGACTTTTAAAGACAGATATAAAGGGTATAGCAAAGTCAGGCAGCTCTGAGTCCTGAGTTACAAATAGACAGATTCCCTTATTTGTCACACTGTGCCACAACAAACACAGATACCTTTAGCTTTTTGCTACATATGTTGTTATTGAAAGCTTCTCTTGAGATGCAGAGACCAAGTATGCTTTGTGGGCAAGGGGATCTGAAACCACAAATGAATAACCACATTGCATTACTTCTGCTGAGAAGATATATATTATTTTGTTTATTAGAAAGGAAAATAAATGCTGCCAGTTATATCCTGCCCAAAGCAAAAAGGCCTGACAGCAGGAGCTGCTTTTGCTACCATGGAAAAGCTTAAAAGTTGAATGTACTGTTACAAAATGCAGCAAATGAAAGAATGTGTTCTGCAGGCTTTCTCCACCCACCTATCAGCAAGCAAATAACAGTGCTTTGCAAGCCACCCTCTTTTCCTAAGCGCTCTGTAAACTTGAATTTCTATGTGAGCTAAAAGCAGACAAACAAAAATGGGCACAGTCTGGAGCAAATCGTGGCGGGTGTGTGCATGCAGCACCACCCAAAAGCTGTCAGCAGGTGTTTGCTGATGCCCTGAGCTGAGGTTTCCAGAGGTACCTCCCATCCCACCATCTGCACGCGGTGGTATCACACCAGGTCAGTTCAGGCAAAGGCAGTTCAGCCCTTTCTGGCTTGGGCAACCGGCCAGCCAGGCAGAGCTCTTCCCAGATTTGTTTAGCACCTCCGAGCTTATGTTGCTGATACACTCATGCACATGTAACATGAGTAACACCCAGCTGGGTTTAAAGGGATTAGCACGCAGCCCAGCGGTAATTTCTGACTCCTCTGTCTCCGTCTCAGTCATTGCTCCTCAGTCTTAGTGTAGTTTGGCCATGTAAGGGCTACTTGGCTGGAGAGGAGCGGCCACACAGCTTGCTCTTGCTCTTGCATGAGCGCTTCATCAACTTCTTGCCAAAGCTCAGGGTTCGAGGAGCAGCTCTCGGCCACCCAGCTGCCAGCATTGACTTCCACACCTTCCACCACTGGAACAACCCCCTGCCCTCCCCAGCCTGCTGGCTCTGCTGTACCCTGATACGTAGCAGTATGTATACACACGATGTGTACACTACAAATATATGTTTCATACTGCAGTTTTTCTTTGCTCCAGGGAATGGGGTCTTGCCAACCTTTCCTCTGTTCTAATAAGCAGTGTTCAGTATTCTTTCCCTCAGTAATTTGCATTTCTTTAGAGCAAATTGCTGATAGCTAGAAGGGACGAGGGAACGTCCTGTCGAGCGGGCGGGAGCCCAGAGGCCTGCGCTGCTTCGGCGGAAACCTCGCCAACGGCAGCTCGGGGCCCAGGCCTGTCCGTCCGTCTGTCCTGCGGCAGCTCTCTTGTTGAGCAGCAGATGGCGATGTTGCTTCAGCAACAGGGGTATAAATTAGGTGCAAGCAGACTTGTTACACTGCCGAGTCGAAGAATCATTAAGGCTGGAAAAGACCACTAAGATCATCTAGTCCAACCCCAACCCACCCCACCATGCCCACTGACCGTGGCCCTCCGTGCCACATTCACACTCTTCTTGATCACCTCAAGGGACAGTGTCTTCGCAACCCCCCTGGGCAACCTGTGCCAATGTACCATCACTCTTTCACAAAAATCTTTTCTAATTTCCAACCTGAGCCCTGTTAGCAGCTCAGAAACAGGACTAGACCCTCAGATAGGGAATCCCTCCCTGCTTTCGTCCCTTCCTCCCTTCCTTCCTTTTTCAAATATCATTTATGGAATAGGAGTAGTGATCTCATTTTTCCCCTGGTTCTTTATAGCAGAAAGCACTTTAGAAATAGATTTGAACCTGAATGCTGCTCCAAAACTATGTTTAGGTAAGGTGTTCTATCAGCTCAGGGTCAACCTATGGCACTGGGAAAGGGATCCAAGAATCTGAAGTTTTTAAGGGTTTCCCAGAGGCCTAAGAAATGCAGAATCCACATCTCTTACTATTTGCATTACTACAAGCGTCTTTCAAGATAAATGTCCATCCGCACCATCTCCTTGGGTAGCACAGCTCTAGCACAGAGGTGTCTGAACCAGGATTTTGTTGCCTTGACTGTTTCCCATAATCTTTCCTTGTCAGGAGCCAACGTGAACATAAAAACCTACAACCAAGATGAGGAGACCCCTCTGCACACTGTTGCGCGTTTGGGTATCCCTGAGCTCGTGGCTTTCTACGTGGAACAAGGGGCGCAGGTCGATGCTCTCAATGCCCACATGGAGACCCCCCTGGCTTGTGCAGTCTACTGGGCCCTTCACTACAAGGACCAGACATACAGCCCCGACCACCACCTCATCTGCCGGATGCTCTTAGACTACAAAGCTGAAGTGAACACTCGTGATGAGGACTTCAAATCTCCACTCCACAAAGCTGCCTGGAACTGTGATCATGTACTGCTTCACATGCTGCTGGAAGCAGGAGCAGAAGCCAACATCATGGATGTCAATGGCTGTGCACCCCTACAGTATATCATAAAAGTGACATCTGTGAGGCCAGCTGCCCAGCCTGATGTCTGCTACCAGCTGCTACTGAATCATGGAGCAGCCAGGATATATCCCCTGCAGTTCCACAAGGTTAAAGATGGTTTTGTTCAGAGCAAAGAGATGGAGAGAGAGGATGACTTGAACAGGAGAGAGATGAGAGAGCCAAACCTCAGAGTCTGATAATATTGGGATTTGCAGGAGTCCTATGAACTATAGTCCCAGAATGCCCAAAATCTTGTGAGATGACCTGTTGTAAGACTGGTATCATTGTTAATGACAGAAACTTGATGCAGATCCAATTTTCATTCCCAATCAGTCTGAAAATACAAAGTCTACATGTTGGCTCAATTTTTCAGAACTGACATTACCATTGACATTACCATTTCAGAAAATCTACATGCTTTCATCAAACCTTGCTCCAAATATACTTAACTGGGTTGTAGGAAATGTATATTTTGTTGCCTCTATCAAAGACTGGGAAAAAGATAAGACAGTTCAGTTTGTCCATTCTGACCTTTAAAAAATACAAATCCATTCAAACTGAGATGGATCTCAGTGATGTTTTGGCTTATTCCTGGGAATGAGAGAAATTAAGGGGAATTTCCAAATCTGAGCTCATGGCTGATGGGAAAAGAAACAATAATTGCAGGATCCCTCCCAAAGAATTTCTAAAGGTCTTCAATACCCAAAGCATTGTAGTTTCTTACTTGAAGCAACAAAGTAAGCTTGCTGTGGTCAGGACTCATTCTCTCATCTCTGCCCTGAGCATAACTGTGCTTCTCCTCCATTGTAAGCACAACATTTCAACAAGCCAAGCAATCAGAAATCTTTGAAAAACTGCCAAAACTTTGGCTGTACCCTCCTGAGCCTAGACTGAGCTGCCCTGGTTCTGTAGCAAAATTTTTCTACAGTCTGTTTGAGAGCCAGACTTAGGGTCTCCATTTCCTGCCTCCATCTTTCCCCTATTGCATGGAGTGGGGCACAGATCCGATCTATAATTTGCTATCTGTACAATATGCAGCATGATGTTTAACCCAGGGGGATGCTCTACAGCATTGTTTGTGAAAGTCTGCCTATGGTGTATGTCAAAATTGTACATAGTATGGTGTGAATGCAAAGCATTACTCCATGAATGTGAGTGAGAACAAAGCAGTGAAGATGGGATTGTCTTTTCCAGCACCAACTGCATCCTATCCTATGTTTTAAATGTGTACATTTTAGTGTGTCCTTATGCTCTTCTCACCAAGCAGACAGGCTGGCCCCAGGTTCTTGGTGGTACTTATGATCCCTGTACATCCTGCCTACAGGTGCTACAAGCCTGTCATTCCTACCCCAGGGCTGTGGAGGTGGTCGTCAACACCTATGAACACATCAAATCAACATCAAAGTGGAAAGCGGCCATACCTGATGATGTCTTTGAGGTAAGATCTTACTGGGTTGCAAAGGAGTAAAATCCAAGCTTGATATTTATTGTCCTTATCTGGCCACAGGAAAATGAGTATGCTTTTGAAAGTGACTAACATACCAGGGCAGCTCTATGGGCTTTTCCCTCCTGGTGAGATCTGTGTGTTGGGAGGTAGAGAGAAGCTCAGTGCCCTGAACCACTCATCTTCTTTTGCGTTTTACAGCGGCACCAGGATTTCTACGACTCCTTATTCAGTGTGTGCAGCAATTCACCACGGTCCCTCATGCACTTATGCAGATGTGCTATTCGGATGACACTGTCAGAACGATGCCACCGAGGCGTCCCCTTGCTCTCCATCCCACTGTCCATGAAGAAGTACTTGCTGCTGGAACCAGAAGGAATAATCTACTGAGCCAGTGCCCTGCTGCTGCCTGCATCTTCATGGAGTTGCAGGCCCTGTGCTCACACAAACCTTCACTTCTGCGTGGCCTGAGGGCTGGCTGGCATTCACTGGCCCTCCTCAGAGCCTCCTTGGAGAAGCAGAGTTGGAAAGGCACAACCAAATGAACACATCCCTCAATGCTTTGTTGGGCCTAGCATGAACAACCCAAGCAATGATGCTTCCATTTCTATCAGTATTTATTCCACTGTCTGATATGGTTAGATTCAATCTGAGCAGCCCTTAATACTGTTTCACTGCCGTTTTCTTTAGCTGTCATTTTAGGAGTAAGAGGATACTGTCAAAAAGTAGTGTGTTCATTAGTCATTGGAGTGCTTTCCCAGAAAGAAATGGGCAAACTGATTTGTATCATGACCACAGTCAGGATTGCAGTAGTTTCCTATGGATCAGTACTGAATTTGGGATTAATACGTTGTTCACTACACCTGTCTGTACCTTAAAGTTTTGTCATAATACTATTCTTTTTAATTGCAGTATTTTTTTCCATTATCCATCCTAGTATAGGAACGGGACTGAAATCTGCAGCACTGACAATTCTGTGTGTTCTAGTTCATGCCTTGCCTTGGTAGCTTTTAGAAGATGCTGTCTCTGTTTCCACTCTCATCGTGACCTGCATTAAATTCACATCCTGGTGTGGAAAAGGCAGATGCCCTGGACTTACGTGTGTCAGCTCACTTACATACACACATCCTTCAGGATGTGGGTGGGATCTGTGAAGAATACGAAAATTTCTGTCCATTGGTTACAAAAGGATACTAACCTATTAATGTGGACTAGATAGCTCATTTTTGAGCAGCTAAGCACAGGTGAAAAGAATTCCACCTTAACTGAAAGGTGTTTTCACATTGAGGAAACTGGGCTGAGCTGTTTCAGACTTGTCAGCTGCTTGGTGCCTTTGAACCTGTTGATGCTGTTTCCCACAAAACAGTTTCTCCTGGCAGAGCCATTGTCTCCAGTGCAGGGGAAGAAATGCATGGTGCACTCTAGGTATCCTGCAGCAACAGTAATGTATAATTTGACCTATTGATAAAACTCATTTTTACTCCCTTTTTTTAGTTTTATGCAGTCCATTTGCACTGTTCTTCATTTAGACTCCGATAACTCTGGGCTCTGATAGAAGGGAGGTGAGCTGGGCCCATCATCAGAAGCCAGCAGTCCCTGACTTCTCACTGCATCTTTGGCTGATGCAGTGGTTCCTTACTATCATTATTAACTCTCTGTAAGAGGTCCCACATCTTGCTGGGCTTTTCCCACCTGTACAGGAGCAGCCAAGCTGTTCAGTGTCTCTGTGCTTTGCAAGGTGTCAAGAACAGCACCCAAAGAAATGCACAGAATATTTAGTATTATAAATCACTTTGCTGACAGAAAGCACAGTGATAAGAGCTCTTACTATTAGTAACAGGCCTAACAAGTGTTACATCTATATCAAAAGCAGTCCCACAGTCACTGGGGAGTCATAGGACCACACAGGTTGGAAAAGACCTTCAAGATCAAGTCCAGCCACCAACCTGACCTGCTGAGTGCCATCACCACACCATGTCCCTCAGTGCCAATCAAGCCCTGTACTTTACTAAAATGATGAAGGGTTTCTAAAGTGAATTTTGAGGGACTGGGAAAGCCTACATAATATAAAGCCACTGCTTTTCTAAGCAATGCATCTGTGTAAGTCAGGAATAGGGAAAAGGACTTGCCAGCTGGACAAGGCAAGAAAATATTTGTTTCTTTCTGAACAGTCTGACAGCAGGACTAGCTGCACCCTCCAGAAGAGGCAGATGGAGGTGCCTGGTTTTACTTTGCAGGCATACTCATGCTGGTGGCTTCGGGATGTGATATTCTGCATCTGGAACAGGGAGGTTTAAGGCAGAACAATAGCACTGTTTTTGACCTGTCGTAGTGAGGACTCTCTTGCTGAGAGAGAAGAAAAAAGACTGTCACCACTGTTCCTAAATTCCCCCTGATCCTCCCTCTTCACATTGAACAAGCTTAATTTTCATTCTGCAGGCACCCAGCCTCACTTCCAAGCTTTGTACCCAAGCAGGTGCCAGATTACAGCCATTGTGGGATGTGACAGAGAGCACAGTGGGATCAGGCTGATTATAGTCATAGGAATTTGCAAGCTGTTAAAACACTGGAGAACATCCCCACTACAGAAAGAAAAAGACTAATTGATACACTTTAATTGGTTCTGTTGTTTGAGTTAGAAGAACAACAGTAAGCAAACTTGTTATTTGCTACCTTTTAACATTTCTTTCTTTTTAAATCTCACTGCAGTGACAGTAAGACTAAATACATCTAGTTTCTGCGCACTAGATGGAGCTGCCCAAGTGAGGCATGGGGGCACCTGATATCTGCTAAATTTACTGGCTGCACAGTCTTATTACTCTTAGTGCAGATTCATTGGAGATTCATGCTGTTATATAACTTCTGATCATGCCTGTATGTTTCCAAAGCTGCAACAAATTGGATGGCTGCAAATGGAAATAGAAAGAGACCAGGCTGCAACCCCTATGCTGTAAGTTTGAACCTAATCATGAGCTAAAATTACAGAAAATTAGTTTTAGCATTGCTTGGTGTTGCCTTGCCTTGCCTTCCTTTCCCTTCTCTTCATTATTTATTTGTGCTATTTGTCTTCTCAGTAAAAATGTAATCATGCCTGAGAAATTTTCACTGCATTTCACAGCCTGTTAGAATATTTAAAGCACACAGGAGCACAAACAATGAACTGTTGTTCCCACTGGCAACCCTTTCCCACAGCTCCATTAGTGACTTTTCAATAAACAACCTGGTGATTTTTAGAAGGTGCATAAGAAGAGACGTTCTTAAGCCAAATACTTTGTTATTCCATCTATGAACATAGACGTAGAGACACTCCACATGTTTTTGTGGGCCAGTGCAGAGCCATAATCCAGTTTTTCACAGACATTCACTTTGTATTCTGCTCTTATAATAATTTGAAACCTTCTCTATTTGATGTCTGACTTGTTCCAGCTTGACTCAAAACTCCACAGATTTATCCATGGAGAAAGCATGTAGGTGAAACCAAAATCAATCTAAAAGTGTTCAGGACTGTGTTTTCATTCAAAATCTTAAACAACTATTCACATTTTTCAGCCTTCAGAAACCAGGACAGTGAGCCTGAAACAGCGTGACTAGAGAAGCTCTACTGCACTGCTGCTGATCATGCCCATCTCATGCCAAGGAGAGGAGCCAGAGACTGCAAAGTGGCAACTCGGGAAATTGCAAGAGGAAGCAGCTCATCTTACTCAGTTCCTTCTCAGCATGTAGCAAGTGAGTCACCCTTGAGACAGGCTACTTTTCCAATGTTGCTCCTAGATGGTAGGGAAAGCTATTTTCTCTGTTGTCTCCCACTGTGTGCAGAGCTACCAAGACCTTGAGAGTTGCTCAAGGCTTAAAAATGAGGCAAGTATGTTTTCTCTCTGCAAAGGTGACTTTGTATACAACTGTCTGCATATAGGATGGTCCTAGAGCACAGTGTATTTCATTACTCCGTACTGATACTTTAAAGCAATACTCAACAGTCCTGCTTTAAATACTCAACACTCAACAGTACAAAATCCTCCTTCAAACACAGGCTACCTGATAAGAGTCTATTGCTTGATTGAATGGTAGCTCTCAGGTCTTTAACACAACTGGTGCTAATTTCACATCCCTCACTCCTCTGATAGCTTGCATTAAGTACACTAGTGCACTGAGACAAGCTTACATTATAAAGAAGAAAAGGTTCAAAGCCCAGATAATAAATATAGGGCTCTGGGACCACATGGAACAGGTAGCCAGGATCTCAGTCTCTTTCTGTCCTCAGTGCTTGACAAGCCAGCAAGGGAAGGAGCCAAGCTGGCTGCAGCCCTTCCCATGCTCTTACATGGCCTTGGCACCAGGGCGGTGTGGAGGATGCTGCTGCTGCCTGAATCATCTTGAAAAGTTTAGGACCAAAACTGCTGACTAGAAGAAAGCAGACTGTGTGGTCTATATGTGCATTGGCACGTGAGTTCATTCATAGAATCACCAAGGCTGGAAAAGACCTCCAAGATCATCTAGTCCAGCCATCTACAATATTCCCACACTAAAACGTGTCTCTTAGTACAACATCTAAAGGTTTCTTGATTACCTACAAGGAAAGCGACCTCACCACCTCCCTGGGTAGCCCATTCAAGCACCTGACCACTCTTTTGGAGAAGAAATTTTTCCTAACATCCAACCTGAATCTCTCCTGGTGCAACTTGAGACCATTCCCTCTAGTTCTATAGCTAATAGCACAGGAGAACAGGCCAAAATCCACCTTGCCACAACTTCCTTTCAAGTACTTGTAGAGTTCAGGCAGTTGACTCTTCATATGTAAAGAGACTTGGAGAGATATTCCAGTGAAATCTTTGCTCTAATTCAGAACAGAACTTTTCAGCTCAAGTCAGGGTGTCAGGGCTGAAACCAATACTTTCTACAGGAATTTTGGCATTAGTGAAATTTTCTTTCTTCAAAATCACTTACCATCTTGAAAGATCACTTCTTTCCATGGGGCAATCTGTTACAGCCTATACTCCAGTTCTGACAGAATCAAATGCTGTGATTGTGAGTTTCTTTATATCTCCCAACCAGAGCAAGACTGACAACTATTTCTATAAAATGTCAGAAACACAATTATTAGAGGTAGAGGGAAGATTCTGGTCTGCCATGAAAGGCAGCAGCTTTACTTTTAGCTGAAAGTAGTGCTGGGGCAATTAAAACGATCACAGAGACTCTGCTCCTTCATATTATAGGAACGCCCTTTCAAAATGCACTACGACTTTTGGCAGTACATTTTGCCCGTGGGACAAATGCCTGTAAATTAAATATACAAGAGTTCAGTTTTCGAGATTGGAAGGAAGATTGAAATAGTCTAGGGTGGCCTGTGCTCTTACATACCTTTATTATACTTGGAAAAGCCAAGGAGGCAT